AAAACCCCAAAGGTAAGGGCATAAATGCCAAGAAATGAAAGGTATGGATGGTTTCCGAAATTCACCCCAAAGGTAGGGACGTTTTGCGCTAATTAACCAAATTTTAACATTTTCTTTACTTGTTTAACCGTGACACGTTTTATTCAATCTAACATTTCATACATTCTATAACTGAACTACCATAAGCTCTGCAAAATCTTAAATTGTAAAAGTTGAGAAGCCATGGTCAAATTAAACTCGTTTTCACAAATTATCACTTAATATTGGCTAAAGTTTTTTTATTACCCTCATATCACTTAAAATTACAAAATCTAGTTATAATTATTTTAAAGTAAACAGTGAATCTATTTTGGATCAAAGACATCTCATACTTTCTTTGAAGTGTAGCATTTGACACCTTTTAAAAATTCGCATCATCAAGAGCTTGATGAATAACACTAAGAGCCTTTTGATAATTTCTCTTAGTTAATTCTTGTACGTCTCTTTGTGCTTGAGACATGTCTTCTTCATTTTGAAGTTCAAAACATCTCTCTATCAAGTCCCTCAAATCTTGACTTCCAAGATATACATTCATGCCAATACACTATGTACTGTAGTTATCATTAGTAAGTCAAGAAATATGAAGAGAATTGTTGTTTGCCATTAATTCTTTTCAGAGTTGTATAACCTCGCTCTAATCCCACTTCTGTTGGAAACTTGAAGATGAAAAAAAAAAAAAAATTGGAAGAGAAGAAGTTAATATTAAGAGAACACGAAATATTATTTCTTAAGAGATAAATGTCATTTTTATAATCCAAAGTGTACATCGTGCTTGACATTGCCTTAGTTTTAAACAAATTGTTGGAGGGATAACTGTTTTTTTTTTTTTATTGTCAAATGACTGGTACAACAAAGTGTATACCAAGCATGATTGTAAAGAAGATTAACAAACTGACATGAAATAAGTAGATTCCCAACTTAAAATATTCGAGATGTAAACGAACAAAGAACAATGAATCACACGAAGTGATGAGAAAAGTATTTATTGGTCCATTATGGTTTCATTTCGTTTGATATTAAGTTACCCTTCAAGAGATGAGTGGTAAATAAGTGAGTATTATTTGTGGGTCCTACGAAATACATGGTTAATATTAAAATTTGCATTTAAAAATAATTTTTAATAAAAAAGAGGATCTCTTGCCTATCTTAAATTTATTGAGAACAAAAGAATAACTTTTTGTGGGAATTGAACCGGGTTCAATCGTGTTGCTCCCATAATCGGTGGAAAATGCAATAGCCAAATGCGATTTTGTTAAGTTTACACTTTCAACCGGATTGCAACACTTGGACAGATCTTGGCTGTTGGTTTGAATTCTGGAGAGTTATATTATTATTGTCATTCTCGACTTTTGTCTTTAGGGTTTTCATTTTCTCTATTCTTTGTGTGAGAGCACCGTTTCTGAGGGTTTTTCTTTGTTCTGATCTCTTTGTAATTTCTTCTCAAATTCTTGATTTGAGAAGGTGATCTGTAATATTGTAGCCTTCTTTATGATGATATTCTGAGTGAATATCTGTTACGAAGTATTTGTGATTTTGGCTTGTTGTTTCTGAGGTTCTAAGGTGATCATTTGTGGTTCGACTAGATTGATTGCTGTATTTGTGAAAGATAAGCGTTCTGTATCTTTTCTTTGTGATTGTTGAACATTATTGTAATATTTGTTGCCATTTTGGGCATTATAGTGGAATCGAGCATAATCCAACTTTTGGATGCTCAATGGGGATGTAGGTGTTGGATGTGGTCTCAAAACCTCCGAGGCTTAGGTCGAAACATATTGATTGTGTTCTTTTAATTTTTTGAGCTTTCTTTTCATAGAATGTTTTCGTATTCTTGTTTCTTGATCTAATATAGTGTATTCCTGACCTAACAGTAGTATCAGAGCCATTATACTGAGGATCAAGATACTTGGATCTTGGAGAAGTTGGGTTGATCTGAAAAGGATCTAAATCTTTGGAATCGTTGTTAAAGCAATATCACATAATTTCGAGTTTTAAACTCCCTCGGTGTGATCTTTCTGAACTTTTCTAAAGTAATTTTTCAAATACTTAGAATTTCTTGATTTTTCCCTTGATTTACCATGTACTAAAAACCCCATTGATCTTAATCTTTGTCTAAAAGCTCCTACGAGGCCTTGAGAATCTGATATTAATCGAGTACAGTTGTGCACATGGAAAATATTGCTCGAGGAATCTATGAAACATTATTTCAAGATCTCTATTATTGTGTTTTAATCTCCAAATCTCTACAAGTGCCTAATATTTGAAAATCTTGTTCTACTGTGTGTATTACTGTGATTTTATGTTTGCCACCAATCTGTACTCTTGCTATTCTTTGTGCATTTGTGTTAACTGTCTTTTGTTCGTGTGTCTTAACTTTAACATGGCTTCTACTAAATTTGAAGTAAGTCAGTTTGATGAAAAAATTGATTTCAATTTATGAAGTCAAAAAATGAAGGCTATCTTGATACAAATGAGATGTGTTAAGGCCTTAGATGATAGTTGGCATGTTGATTTAATTCTTGCAAGGAAAACTGAACTTGAAGAAATTGCTTGGAGTACTATTTTCTTGTACTTATTTGAAAATGTAATAAGAAGTATTGGTGAAACTAGAACTGTCTCTGAACTGTAGACCAAACTTCATGCAAAGTATGTGACCAAAACTATTCCAAAAAAGTGTTTTTTATTAAAACAATTATTCTCTTTCAAAATGGATCCCTCAGTTGATTTTGATGAAAACTTGAATAGATTTATAAAGCTTACTCAAGACTTGGCTAACAGCGATGAAAAATTTCAAAAGATCAAATGGATGTAGTCTTGCTAAACTCCATTAGTGACATATATAAGGACATCAAGATTGCTCTGGAATATGGTAGGGAAGAACTTACTACTGATATAATAATAAATTCTTTAAAGAATAAGGCTCTAAAGATAAAAATTTGATTATGATAATAATCTAATTGGAGATGGCTTGTTAGTAAAGAGAAAAACCTTTGGTAAATCAATTAAGTCTTTTATTGAAAATAAAAACAGATTCAATGAAAAGTATAAGTCCAAAGCTAAAACTAAAGGTAAGAAATGCTATTATTGTGGGAAGCTGGGACATTTTTCCAAAGACTATTTAAAAAGGAAAAATGACTTGAAAGATAACAAATTTGATGAAGGGAGTAATGCTTTAGTGTATAATAG